CGCATGAAGGCACACACACACACACACACACACACACTATTGGGCTCTCTCCCCATTGGCGCTTGGCCCAAATCACTGTGACATTTACAGTTTCGCAGCCATTAGAGCCTAATGTCTAATGGTTTTCCGGGACATTTAGGTGGAACAGAGCCATTGTGATGTTTTTAGTTACACCTAAGCTTTACCTGCTGAGACAAGTCAGCTTTTAAAGAGGTCTCATTCACATTTATAGCATTCAGCACATTTCAGTATTCAATTAAACACAGAGTTAGGAATGAAAAAGCAGAATTTCAGATTATTAGAGAAGGACTGAAAAGCCGTTATAGAGCTATAATGTGCATATAAAAAAAAGAAAAAGAAAAAAAAAATGTATACATGATTGCATATGCATGAGAGCAAAGTGTATGAATGTGTGCATAAAATATATGACTATGAGAGAAAAATATATCAATGTGTGTGTTCAAATATATAAATATGAGAGTGAAAATATATGAATGTGTGAGTGAAAATGTATAAATGTGTGAGTAAAAATATATGAATGTGTGAGTGAAATGTATAAATGTGTGAGTAAAAATATATGAATGTGTGAGTGAAAATGTATAAATGTGTGAGTAAAACTATATGAATGTGTGAGTGCAATGTATAAATGTGTGAGTAAAAATATATGAATGTGTGAGTGAAATGTATAAATGTGTGAGTAAAAATATATGAATGTGTGAGTGAAAATGTACAGTATAAATGTGTGAGTACAAATATATGAATATGAGAGTGAAAATATATGTATGTGTAAGGAGAATGTATGTGTGTGAGAGGGTGAGAATGAATTATGTCTTGTACGGCCCCTCATAGAAATGTGCTTCCTTGCATTGGACACTAGAGGCATCATCCATATATTTACAGATCTACGGACACCAGTCGTCGGACATGCGTAAGTGGAAACGAGGCATATTGTATCAGGTCACAAAAAGACTTGGCTGGCTTACTTGTAAATTGTTTTGTGAAGGTTGTTGTGTTGTCTAACATTTCTATATGGTTTTTATGTCAGCGGTCATTCTTGGTGGATATGGATTGTAAATATGGATATCTTTGTTGGTAGTAATGAGTAACTTAAAGCCCTGTTTCTTTGTCAGAGAGTAACAGTTGCTGTATCCCTTCTAGAGTTCAAGGCTGCATTTGACATCTTTATTCAGGATGCAGAGGACGGCTGCATCAGCACAAAAGAGCTGGGAAAGGTGATGAGGATGCTGGGACAGAATCCCACCCCTGAGGAGTTACAGGAGATGATTGATGAGGTGGATGAGGATGGTATGTCAGCAATATTAAGCCTGTCACATTGCTGCAGATATCAGAAGCATGTATGTTTTAATAGGGTAAAAAAAAAATAACGTTTTAACATTCAAGAAACTTTAGTGCAAATATAAGGGAAGGAAAACTTTTTAAAAGGTCCCATAACTGCAAATATGATATAGAGATTTGGAGTCTTTAAAATATTTTGGTGTGTTCACAGGCAGTGGCACAGTCGATTTTGACGAGTTCTTGGTAATGATGGTCCGCTGCATGAAGGAGGAGAGCAAAGGAAAATCAGAGGAGGAGCTGGCTGAACTGTTCCGCATGTTTGATAAGTAGGTTTCTCTTTGTATTTCTTTTCACACAGTGCACAGAGTTACTTCAATATCACTAAATGATGTGATAAAGAGAAATGAGAGCTGACTCCCACTATTAGATTGACAGATGGTTTAAATATCACTTAAGTCAAACAAAACGCCGGTAACTTTGATAAAAAAAAAAAAATCCAAAATATCCAAAAATCCACGAGAACACACTGTGGTAAGCCATATTCTCATTGGACACAGAAGCACCCTGACTGTTGTGCAGCCATCCTTCAGCAGTCACCTGGCCCTTCACACCAGAAGAACATTTATCTGCTGCGCCTCCTCTGTAAACAGCCCAATTGCTTAACATGGGCGCAGACAGCTCTTCACTGTGGACGCTGCCACGTCCTGTGTGAACCAAGAGTTAGCAAGATATTATGTGGGTTAGCACAGTACACTCAAAAAAAGTTTAGTGTTAATGGGTTAAAATCAGTAGATATTCCAGATAAATATAAGACTGATTTCCTTATCTTGTGTTGAGGAACGGAGATGGCTACATAGACCTAGAAGAGCTGAAGGCCATGCTGCAGTCCACTGGAGAAGCCATCACGGAAGATGACATTGAGGAGCTGATGAAGGATGGAGACAAAAACAATGATGGAAAAATTGATTATGACGGTATGGAAGCAAGTCCATTGACAGTACAACAGACACCAAATGTATGTCCTACAAACACTGTTCATATGCAAAGATTTTGCATTTGCAATTAAAGATTGCAGGAAACACGACAACCAGTCCTCCAAACTGAACATTCTACATTTTTTGTCATCAATTCCCATAACATTACCTTGTTTGTCACTGAGAGTCAAAGTCATTATTTACACTACCACTAAAGATTCTTGTCTGAAAAACACAATGTATTTTTAAGTCTTTCAAGTGTAAACAACTGACCAGTGCCAGGGGTAGTTTTAAATATAATGCTATCCAGATTATACCATGCTTTAAAATAAGATTCTGGACTTTGATGCTGAACTTTTACCTGCCGAACATTGGTACAAAACACCAGGGTGCATACTATTCCCAACACATATATTCAAGTTGGATGAGAGAAGAAATAATACTGAAAAGATAGAAATAAACAACTGAACAAACAGCAGAAGTAACCCTATTCGAATGCACACATGCATGCATATCTACATGAGCATGAGAATGGGGGGGACGCATGCTCATGTTGTGCCCAGCCATGGGTTTTTTGGCAGCCTATGTTTTATGTTTTTAGTGAGTTTCTGTGTTTCTATGTTTGACTGCCCATGATCGTCATGGTAAAGTGCTTTCAGACACTGTTCTATTAATCTGCAGTGATGGAGCTTTTAAGTATGGCTACCTTGTGGATTTTGATTAATTTAACTCTTGTCTGCAACAAAGTTACAATTTTTTTTTTTCGAGAACACAGTATACTAGAAATTTTCTGTTGCAATGGAATACACAAGATTGAATCACTGTTGTGATCATTTGAGTGGAGTTAAGAAAAGGAATGGTGGAAAAGCACCTAAGAAAACAGCTTTTTCTTTCATGGTCATGGGAAACATTCAGTCCCTGCAGAATAAACTTGATGAGCTGCAAGGAATCATACCATGGTCTGGGTGAATACTTGATTCTGATTGGCTGCAGGGTGTGATACATTAGAAAGTGATATAGGACACCTACTAAGTAGTTCTTTCTTTCTAGTTTAATGTGAAGGCATTATATTAGTATCAGCCTGTTTCTAATATGAGTAAGGGGCGCTGTCAAAGACTCTGTATACAATTTATTTCCAAAATCTCAGGGCTGCCTTAAAACTGCACTTACTTGGGCAACAAGAAGATTTGCTGTGCATCAGTACAATAGTCAGAAAAAGAAGGGCCTGCAGAGGAGATACTCGCACACCAATTCAGCTGGGCTGGACAGCCATAAAAAGGTGCACAGATCAATGCAAAAAAATAGACTTTTTTTCTATTTGCAAGCTAATGTTAGTGACTGGAATGTTAACCATAGGCCTATGTTTCAACTAAGTATTACAAGCTTTAAAAGTCACATCATGCAAACATTTATATGAGTGAAGCTAGAAATCTTCAGCTGAAATGTACAGTTTGCTAGTAGGTTAATAGCTAATGTTAGCTTACAAGTAGGCTAAGCTAGCTTGGGATAGGGACTGTGGTTAGCTACCTAGCTAGCTATAGCACATTCTCTGGGGATTTGGGGGGCTGCAACAATTTCTGTCTCCCCCTTTTTTTTTTAAACTAACAATCTTGCAAATAGTGACTCTGAAAGATCCTCAGTCTTTACAAAGTCTTTTTCTGTGACTAAAAACTCTGGATTCAATTTTTCAATTTTATTTATAAAGCCCAATATCACAAATCACAATTCGCCTCACAGGGCTTTACAGCATGACATCCCTCTGTCCTTATGACCCTCACAGCGAATAAGGAAAAACTCTCCCCAAAAAAAACCTTTAACGGGGGAAAAATGGTAGAAACCTCAGGAAGAGCAACTGAGGAGGGATCCCTCTTCCAGGACAGACAGACGTGCAATAGCTGTCGTACAGAACAGATCAACATAATAAATTAACAGTAATCTGTATGACACAATGAGACAGAAAGAGAGAGAGAGAGAGAGAGAGAGAGAGAGAGAGAGATGCAGGACAGACGATAATGATAATAGATTACAACAACATTAATGAAAGTAATAAAATTATAATTATACTTCCGGCTATTGTGGTACAATATGTTGAAAGTATATATTAATATCTGATAGTATACATATATGACAATAATCATATGTGTATAATAACAGTAGAAGTATGACTAATGATAACAGCAGCAGCAGGGGGCATCAGGCAGGAAAACAGCAGCAGGACAACCACACACGTCACACCATCCAGGCACCGCTGCAATATAAAATAACCTGCAAGAAAGTGGAGCACAAAGGCTCCGGAGAAGAACCCAAGTTAGTGACATACAGTACAGCCGAGTTAGCAAGATGCAATAACAGGACATGAGAGAGAGAGAGAGAGAGAGAGGGGGAGAGGGGGAGAGAGAGGGAGAAGGGGAGAGAGAAGGAGAGAAGGTGACCGGTGTATTATAGGTGGTCCCCCGACAGACTAGGCCTGAGTCAGAATTAAAAGACAAATCTTGGTCAAATATTACTCCGAGGTTTCTTACGGTAGTGCTAGAGGCCAGAGCAATGCCATCTAGAGAAACTATGTCATCAGATAAAGAGTCTCTGAGTTGTTTGGGGCCAAGAACAATAACTTCAGTTTTGTCGGAATTTAACATAAGGAAATTTTTATGTCTTTTAGGCAATTATGAAGTTTAGTTAATTGATTAATTTCTTCTGGCTTCATCGATAAATACAATTGTGTATCATCAGCATAACAATGGAAATTTACAGAGTGATTTCTAATGAAGTTACCTAAAGGAAGAATATATAAAGAGAATAGGATTGGTCCGAGCACAGAACCTTGTGGAACTCCAAAACAAAGTACGTAAGGATGATTCATCGTGAACATGAACAATCTGAAAACGATCAGATAAATAAGATTTAATAAGATTTAAACCAGCTTAGTGCAGAACCTTTTAAGCCAATTAAATGTTCCAGTCTCTGTAGCAGAATTTGATGGTCAATTGTGTCAAATGCCACACTAAGATTTAATAAAACAAGTATAGAGACGAGTCCTTTGTCTGAAGCAATCAGAAGGTCATTTGTAATTTTAACTAGTGCTGTCTCAGTGCTTTGATGCACTCTAAACCCTGACTGAAATTCCTCAAATAAATTATTATCATGAAGAAAATCACACAGCTGGTTTGAGACTACTTTCTCTAGGATCTTTGAAAGAAAGGGAAGATTAGACACATTGTCTCTAGACGTGAGAGGGTTTCACACTTGAGTCTTTAAAAGGTATTTTCAAATATTCTCGTGTGTGGCAGGCATTAATCACTTATGATGCAGCATGAATTCTTTTAGCCTACATGAAAATGCATCACACTTATCTTTGCATCAGCAATGAAACCTTATGATGAAGCATGCATTATTATAGATGAATCATTTGACTTTACCTAATGCATACAATGATAACTTATGATCCTGCATGGACTATTACAACATTCTATGAGTCCTTACTACAGTTGATTGTTGAAGTGTGTATAGGTGATTATAATTATTGATAATGCATTTGTTGGGAACATAAATTCGAGCTTCACACAGAGGCACCAAATATGTTGGGATCAACATATTAGGCCTCACCAAGGGGCACCAAATATGTTGGGATCAACATATATATTTTGGGAACATACTTTTAGGTCTCACCAAGGGGCACCAAATATGTAGAGATTTAATTGGCTATAGGAAATAATTAATAAATATTCTTAATAATTATGTTAAATAATGTGACTTAATTAACATTAAATCACCTCATGGGGCACCATTCCCATAAAGGGAAAAATGATAGCCAGTTAAAGGTATCAGTCTCATAAAATACGCTAAACTATTAATTTGGAGTTTTGATTAATAATTAAATTAATGACAACAACCAAAATTAACAGTAACACCTGAAGGATCTCGGAGTTCTTGACGCAGCAGAGGTTGACTATTCATTCACTCACGTTAGATATCAAGTCATGGATGGCAGTGAATTTCCTACAGCTCAACCAGGACAAAACAGAGGTTTTAATTATTGGTCTTGAAGGCAAGAGAGAGAAACTTTTACCAAAACTACAAGATTTTAAACCTTCACAATGTGTAAAGAGCCTGGGCGTCATTTTTGACTCTGAGCTTAATTTTATTCCACACATCAAAAACTTAACAAAGATAGGTTTTTATCATCTTAAGAATATAGCCAGAGTCCGCCTGTTTCTCTCTCAGGTTAACACGGAGGTGCTGATGCATGCTTTTATCTCTTGTCGTTTAGATTACTGTAATGCCCTGCTCTCTGGTCTTCCCAAAAAGACCATCTCTAACCTGCAGATACTCAAAAACTCAGCCGCACGAGTGCTGACGAGGACCAGAGGGCGGGCGCACATTACACCAGTTTTAAAATCGCTGCATTGGCTCCCCGTGTGTTTCAGGATCGATTTTAAGGTTCTTTTATTAGTTGTTAAATGTCTTAATGGTCTTGGGCCATCTTATTTATCTGACCTGCTTTTATTATATCAACCCTCGCGGATCCTGAGGTCCTCCAGCACCGGCCTTTTAATTGTTCCAAAAGTCAGAACAAAAACCCACGGGGAGGCTGCATTCAGCCATTATGGCCCTCACTTATGGAACAGCCTGCCGGAGAACATCAGGACTGCAGAGACTGTTGATGTTTTTAAAAGGAGGCTCAAGACTCACCTCTTTAATTTAGCTTTTAACTGATTTCTTTTACTCTTTTATTCCTTCTATTATATGTTATTTTTACTTTCTAATGCTTTTAAATGATTTATTTTTATAAGGAACCCCGACTAGTTAGACATGTAGTATATCATCAATATTAGTGTCTGTTATATTAATTTGATATATATGACATTGTAGAAGTCTTTGTTCTAAAAAAAAGAAAAGAAAGAAAATATAATTTCACTCGTAGGTCGTTGTTTACGTCGCAATGCAGTGTGGGTAGTGACGTCAACTGGTAACTGCGTGAAAAATGTCAGCTATTAAGCCGT